CCCCCCCCCATCGACACGTTCTCGACCACTTACCCCCCCTCTGCCCTCCTTCGGCGCGTGCGTGTTGGGCCTCCCGCAGGACATGTGGGTTACACGCGCAGAGTTCAGAGAACACGGGCCTAACATCATGGACAGCAAGTCTCTGTAGGGCGGTGTTGCCATTTCATGTTCCTAGGGGTCGACCAACTAGGGTTCTCGTTGGAAATAGGCGGGGGGTGGGGGTCGTGAAAGGGGACCGGCCGCGACCCTTCCCGGTGTGCGCTCGCTCGCTTTCAAGTTCCCAAGAGTTGGAACCATTCCTCTACTCGTACTACTGTGTGCTACATTTTCTTTTGCCTGTTCCCACAAAGAGGAATGAAATTTGTGAAATCTACGATGTGCATTTAGTTGGTACCCTGTCGATTCCTACCGGTTGGACGATGGAGGGGGGTGTACTCATAGTCGTGCATGCCGTAGTCGTTAGACCATTGACCTCGCATCCCTACAAAGCCGGGACGGAGCACGCCGGGTTCTCACCGGACCAGGCTATCACATCACCAAGCGCGAAGCGCCGTGAGATATTCGGCGAGTCGCATGAAGGGTGCGCTGCATCCTGCTAAGGGTTTTCGGCATCTTGTGCTTACTTCCTTGCGTACGGATGACAGCTGCTTGTGACTTAATTCACTTTCTGGTGCCTTCACTTCCAGAGACAGTTGTAAGCACTGTGTAACTGCCTCGAGGNTTGTTTCACAACGTCGTTGCCAAGCGACGAAAACCCAACCCCGATGGCAAACACCAGGGGGGGGGACGATGGAGGGGGGGGGGAGAACCTCGGTGCGGGTCACAGGTCTCGCGGATGTGCGGTGCTGGCGATGGTGGGTAGTGTCAGCGTTGCTGCAAAAAGAGGACGCCACTCTGGAAGGACGAGGACCGGACATTGTCTAGCGGCGAGATCTCTTGTTGCTCACTCGCCACACACAAGGCGGCGGGCCAGGCTGGTTATTGCCGGGAAGTGAAGAAAGCGTCGGGGCTAAGTGGCAATGGCTGGCGCTCTGCGCTCTCCCCAGAGAAGCTGTTATTCCATTGGGCGGTATCGTTTGGACTAGGTGAAAACAAATCGACCGTCACTGGCTGTCGCCTGGCCACCGAAGCTGGAGATGCATTTTCGCCCGTCGTACTGGTTTCAAGCGTCAACATGGTTTTGCTACCGCGCGTTTCCACGACTTTATCCGGGTGCGTGTTGGGGGCAGCGGTTGCGGGGTTGATACTCCTTTGGGAATGCTGCCGCGGGCTGTGGGATAGCCTGACCCACCGCGTCGGCGGGCATGGCCATGCTGCGGTTCGGTGATATGTCGATTTTCATTGAAAGCGCGCGCCACAACTGTGACTTCGCCGAGATCAAGAAAAAACAGTTCGTTGTAGATATTCTCGTCAGGGGGAAATATATGACCGAGTGGATGGATGGAGGACGAGTGTCGAAGGCGCTGCCCTTACGGGGAGACACTCAAAACGCATCCAATTGGGCGATGAGGTTGCCTCCTCTGGGCGAAGCAACAACAGCGTGTTCGAAAATTGAGCAATGTATGTCCATGGGGAGGTTTGAATGAAACGGCACTATGTACGCGCCAGACAACCAGAACGAAGAACCGCTTGTCATCAACGCGATGCTTGAAACTCGACCTCAGCTTGGTTCACAACGCGAAAGGGAAAACATGCAGTACCTTCATGAATCTCCTCTTGCGCGTGTCAGCGTCAGGCATGGGGCACAATATCGAATGAACACCCTAACGCGCCCGGCATGGACGAGATGCAAAAAAAAAAATCTAAATCAAACGAGGCTGCTGTGTTGGTGAGGTTGTGAAACATTGACATCACCCACCGAACCAAACAAGCCGGCCATTCATTGCTCCCCACCTGATTTGCAAAATGCGAGCAAGACCGCGTTGAGTACTTCCCAGCTTCGTGAATGGTGCACGTGGAAGAAGGCCGTCAAACAAAACGGTGCCAATCGTCTGCTGGATGTCTTCTTGTTGATCTCTCGCCTTCGGTCGGAGTTGGGAGTGATTGTGAACGCAAGTCCTACGTGATAGCCCTCCGTCCCATCATGGGGAAGCACCCGAATCCTGTGCGTTCTCCCGATGATGCGGATCAGGTCAATGGCAAAGGGAATCCTTTAACCTAGCACGAAATATCGGGAGTGAGCACAGGATGCACAACTTCGGTGCTTCGGAGCGATCGGACGGGAGGCAATGACGTGCACGACTTGCGGTCCATATTTCATTCCCATCTCCTTCGGAAGACGAGAGAATAACAAGACGCAGACGATTGACACCGTTTCATACGATGAGTGTATTCACTTGAATCCTTCACGAAGCCGGAAAGCATCCAAGTCGGCCTTGTTTGCATTGACAAACCAGGTGGGGCGAAGTGATTTCATGTTCTTGCCCGTAAGTTTTCAGCCATGCCTCATTGCGAAGATTCGATCACACCGTGTGACGCATGCATACCAGCAACGAGAAATAAAACCACTTCCCGCAAACCAGGAGAGAGAAAGAGGGATGACCTTGTTGCACGTGTGTTGGGCGCTTGTGATGAGTCCGAGTGCTTGCACGTGTCGCAGGTCGCGGGGAAAGTACGTCAACGAACCTCGTACACACCCCATAGAAAATCGACTTGGTATGAACGGATAGGCGCAAGTCAATGACGTCAGCATCAACAAAACGCCGCGCTCTCGGCCCTGGGAAGTAGCTTGTTGTACCGGCAAGGCGGAGTGCAAAACAAAACACGGTGGCCCCGATTCACGAAGACATCCACTACCCTTGGACACACGGCACTACACAGGGAGTGAAACAGTAGGGCACTATCTGGGCACCAGCACGAGTCTTGATGCGAAACACGGAAATAAATCGTTGTCAATATCGTCACGAGGCGCGCACATGACACGCCCTCCTGTACAGCGCCTCGCCAACACGTAAGACGAACATCGTAGTCAACAACGGGAGGAGAGTCGCGAACAGCTTCGCACGGAAGAACTTGAATCCAAACCTTTTCATGAACCTGCTGGAACTCGGTTGTTGAGGTGTCCGATACCCCACAGGACAACACAGAGGAAATCAAGGAGTGAGATTCGGGGACAGAACCGAGAGGGTCTTGACAGCGATTGGGGATGTGTTCCACCGTTTTGCCTTCTCCGTTCTTCTCAGATAGTATGGAGCCAATCAAACAGTGGCATCTACACCTCGCAGGGTGGTCATTTGCTGGTGAGGGCCTCCACCTCCTCCCCTACCCACTTTCGAATTGGGTGACGTGTTCTGTATTCATACCAACGTTGAGGCCTGAAGTTGGTTCGACTTCCTTCATGAACGCTGGCATGTGCGGAAATTCCTGCTCATTCCTTGTTGACGCTGACACATGGAAGTATCCGTCTACATCTCTACTTCTTCTTGATGCTGACAAATTCCTCCGGGCGGGAGTCCAGCATGTCGCCGAACTGCCCGGAGGGAAGGTACACCCACACCCCAACCACAGTGCGCCCGTACCGCCGGTTCCGCAGCCCGACCATGGTGCCGTCGCCGATGGCGTGAGGCATGCAGCCGAGCTCGACGGGGTACTCGATCACAACCAGGGTGTCCTGCGCCACGAGCTGTTGAAGCAGGGGTTGGTGTAGGTGCAGGTTGGTGTTGGCCGTGTTAGCGTTGGTCGTGATGGTGGGTTGCGGTGGTTGGTGGAGGTGTTGGGTGGTAGTGCGCGTGTAGTTCATCGAAAAAAGGGCGCAAAGTAAGGCTTTAGAGCACGCAACATCTTGCGTTTGTTAGTCGTGTTGTCGTTGTTGTTGTGGTTGGTGGTGCCAGCTTGTGTCGATTGTGTAATGTGGCTTCTAGTCATAGGATTCCCGACACCAAATGGGCGTTTGATCACGCGATAATATGGGGGCGGAGGAGGCGACTTGGAGCAACGACAAATAGCTTGTCGTCAAGTGCAACGCAGAGCTTTGGTTGTAACTCACTACACTTCGCCCCAAATCCCTATTCCCACCCCGCTTGCAACACGCCCGCCGACTCCCTTGAAATTTTCACACAGTAGGACTGGCAACAGCTCGAGGAGAATTACAAACTCCGCCCGCTCTCTTGCAGAAGGCGTGCCACTTTTCCAAAGCATTACGCATGGTCATGTAGATCACAGGTACATCTACACGGGAGGCATAGGGCCCATGCTGGGGCATGATAACGAGCGGCGTTCCGAGAACCGTTTCAACTCTGGAATGAGCTGATGGACCCCATGGAATTTTCATGCGCCAAACACGTCAATCGACCAAAAACGAAAGAAGGGCAAACAAATTCGATCCTTGATTATGGCACAGAGGTTTAATCCCGACTCAACCGTCACCCTTCCTGTCTGCTGGGCACTTACGTCGCTGACGGAGAGGGCCTTGACGAGCTCGGCGTAGACGACTTCCTCGTAAGGCGGTGTGACCGTGATCACGTCGAACGGGGTTTCTAGGCCGTACCTTCGAGGGTTATACAAAACCTGACGCAACCAAACAAAAAATTGTATGTGAAGAACGTGAGGGGGAGATGAAGTCTTCGAGGGTTATAAAAAACCTGACGCAATCAAACAAAAAATTGTGTGCGAAGAACGTGAGGGTGAGATGAACTCAAAACTTGCGACCATGCACACATTGCCTTCGCAGTGCGGGACGGGGTTCGGCGAGTATCGCAAGGTGACATGACATGATACACGATACCACTCCCCTGTACCGATTTTCAAAGCTCGATTTCTCCGCAGCAGAAGGAGTGGCGGTGTCGAAAAATGGCGGCGTCGGAACCGTCTCGTCGAGAGCTTTCCCACAACGAATCGTTTGACTCCCACAACCTCTTCGGCGTGGAGTAATGTAGCTGTGGAAATCGATACAGGGGGTGTGATGTCTTGTGCCATTTACCCCGCACCACTCGAGCAGGTGTGTGCTGCCACATATCGTCGAGGAATACGACAGGTCTTCGTGCGCCCTAAAAGCAACGAAGAGGGCAGAGAAAAAAATACTCCGAACTAGTTTTCTCTCTGTGTGGTCCCTCACATCCATAACATCTCCTTTGACAGCCTTGACCTGATCGGAGAAGCCGCACAGGTTGGCGTTGCGCAGACACACCTGGGGGTGGGAGCAATTCAGAGAACGAAAAGCGAAGAAAAAAATCGATAAGACGAGCAAATGCTGACACGACGCGCTTTCTCTATTGTGGAGGCATCGAGTAAGGACAACATGGTGTCCGTGTTGTGTGAATACACCGCCAGCACTCCACATGGGAATTCGCAAATTTCGGCCCCTTGGGCATGATCCCTACCGCACTGCACAAATGTAGCGAACCCCCTCGATGGCCTAACGACTACGACATGCGTTTACATGCGTACCCCCTTGAAGGTCTAACGACTACGGGAAGCGGTACCCCCTCGATGGTCTAACGACTACGACATGCGTTTACATGCGTAAACCTCGATGGTCTAACGACTACGGCAAGCGTTTACAGGCGTACCCCCTGGATAGTCTCACGACTACGGCAAGCGTTTACAGGCGTACCCCCTGGATGCTCTAACGACTACGGCATGCGTTTACATTAGTACACCCCACTCCCTTTCCCCCCGCCAGCTCCGGCGCACGTTAGGAGGACGGGAGCAGGAGCTCCACTGCAGCGCCCACTCACATCGCAACAGTCCTTCGCGAAGTCGACGAACGTGGCGTGACCGGCCCCTCTAGAGAGTGCTTCAATTCCCACCGAACCAGACCCGGAAAAAAGATCGAGGAACTGCAGACGATCGGAGAACAAAAACGCGTGAAAAAAAGGATGAGGAGGGAATAGTAGTGGGTTGGAGGGCGGGGGGCGGAGGGCACGCCGTCCTGCCGTTGAAACGGCAAGCTGCAGAGGGGTTGCGACAACTTCTGCTGAGAAGCCGGACGGTGAAACAGGTATCATGTCATGACAGCACCAGACCGCACAACAACCAATGGCACGAGAGAAATCGCAAACCCGGTTGACGCCAACCGAATCTACCGCCGTTACCTAGGACCCAACATCGAGACGATGATTTGCTCTAGGACGTGCTTCTGCGCGTCCATACACCAATTCGATACGCTGCTAACTTCACCGCTTGCCACTCGGCCCGGCAGCAATGAGCTCATCTCCGGGGATTTTGGACACGGGGCAATATCCAAGAGCTGGGGTGAAGCCGACGGGCACCGTGGTGGGGAGCTTTTAAGAAGCAGCGTGGGTTCGTGATTTTCGGGCTCAGCTACAAAGACGACTCTCTTTCAGGCTGAAAAACCCAACAACGGCAGCCGATAGCAGCAGATAAGTATGGGAACGAATCTCGATCATGCCTTGCAGTACTCCACCTGTCTTCCTTTTTAGTGAGAATCCAGAACGTGAGATGATGCTGCCTGGATTCATACCGCAGAAAGCGCTCTGCTGCAAATGGATGGATGGAATAAAAAACCCGACAAGCTCTACAAAAGTACAAGACAACTAGGCAGCAGAATGAATAAGGAACAAGGGTGTCGCAGTGTGTGACAACAAAACAAAGAAAGGAGAACGAAAGTCTTGCATCGCTGATGCGATCAAATACTGACGCTTTCCACGCTCACCCGTGCATCCTCGGTCTCAAACACCCCGAAGCCCATGAGGGTGCTGAACAACGCCTCCTTAACCTGTCCACGTTTGTTTCACAGAATTGCCGCGGATTTAGCCAGATTAGGTACGTGCACATGCGAAGGAAAGGCTCTGCACACCCTGTGCAGCTTGTGTACGATCTCGTTGAGGGAGAAGCTATCGAGTGCGGGGGCGAGCTTCGTTTGGGGTACCCAGGTCATCAACAGCTACTAGGTTACGAAGCGCTCGCCTTTCTCGCGCCATTTGCACTGTTTGTTCCCCAGACAAATCAATCGCGCCGCGTCACAAACCCCTTTCCCGGCTCTGAAGAACTCACGGGAAAAAAACACCTCGCTTACCCCCAACTGCCACTCTCTGATATACCTTGGCCATCATGGGGCGCAGAAACACGTCCGGGGATTCCAATCGCCGACCCTTGGCGATGCCCCCGGCCACCTTCAACCGCGCCGCGTTGTTGATGGACACTTCTCTCTCCTCCCCCTGTGGCCGGACCTTACCCGGGCGCCCCGTTCCGCCTACCGTCGGCGTGCCGCTGCGTGGGAGGAGGAGGGGGCTCGACGACTTTCTCCCTTTCGCACTTCATTTATTGTGGCTTCAACTAGCAACGGTCGCGCTACAGTTCAAGCGTGCGTTTCCCGTTTGCATTTACACTACTGCAGCAGCCTTTCTCTGCCGTCGTGAGCGCGGGTGGCGAGGAAATGACCGGTTCAACGGGAGTACTTGCAGAAATGGCATGTGGTGGGGTGGGTGGTCGGGCGGAACACAGATGTGGGGCGATTGATGCCCAAGTTTACGGCGTTTTTGCCGAAAAAATGTCCCATGATTTGCCGACAATCGCGCTCGACCCGTGAACGAGCAAACAGTTGGCAATTTAACCTGCAGCGCGGCCAATCAGAAAGCCGTGTACGTACCGAAGTACCCAACCGTCGCTTTGAACGACTGCAGTTCACGACTTTCATGTACAGCAGTACACAAGTTGTCACACACACATTCTCAAGCTGTTGATACCACGCCGACATGCCAGGCACTACATGCTTGGTTCACCCAGCACGAACTAACTCACTAGGCGCTCTGTCGGGGAGCGTAGACCTTCTCCGAGGGCAAGCCCGCGTCGTCCCTCCTCAGGTTGACCCCCCTCGCCTTGCGGCGGTACCTCTGGTCCTCCGCGAAGCTCTCGTCGTCGCCTTGGCGGCCGCCGCTGCTGCTCCTGGACTTCGCTGCTGCCGCGTGAATCGCGGTCCTTGTGCTCCTTGTACTGGAGGCAGTGAGGCAGTGGGTGGCGGCAACCGGCGCTCTCCGCGCCGAGTTGGAGCTGAAGTGGTTGAACCTTGAAGGGTGGGTAGGCGGGGGCGATATGGGGGGTTGTAGGAGAAAGGCGCGGCTTTCGGTCAGCGCGAGGAGGGCTTGCGCGGCGATCATCACCCAGCCAGCCCTTGCACTGCAGCTGCTGGCCGTAATGGTGGCATGACTACGCCTGGTCCCTCCACGGGGCGGCTGTGGGGCCATCGCATGCATGACTCTGCCAGAGGTTGTCTGCTGCTGCGGAAGCGGGAGAGTGCAACGCGGGACTGTCACTTTGTTGTGGGTTTTCCACATTTGTGCGAAGCCTTATTTTGTCGATGTAACGCCTGCTGTGTCTCGCAAGATCGCATTATCGCGCCCGCTGCTGATTTGCTGATATGTGTACAAAGGACCAGGCTGATAGGATTGATGTTGACACCGGGAGGCAGTATCACCCGGCAAAGGCGAGATCGAGGGCTCGCTTGACGCCCGCTTCACCCTATATAGCGTTGTACTTCTGCTGAACGGCTGGCGATGTCCGCGCGTACGGTCGCTGTCGTTGCAGTTTGCCTGTACGCACCGATATACTCGCTGTTGGTGCAGAGCGTGCCTCGGAGATCGGGACTATGCTTTATTTCCAGGCTTCGTGTGCATTACGCTACGACCGACTGGTCATTTTGGATGGAATGGTGAGTGTGTGGTGCCGCGTAGATATGGAGGCGGCGGGATGTCCACAACAGTCACGATCAGCTGGTCTGTGGTCTGTATATGTAGTCAATTGAACAAGCCGTGCCTTGGGTGTTCTAGATTGTCCATGTTCACATACTAGTGCTTCGTATGACACACGCATCGACATCGTACGTGTTTAGACTACATGACTCGAACAGTACCAGCATTCAACATCAGAGGTATTGGCTCTCGACGAGTGCATGCTGTACACGTTTAGTCTAGATATTTAAAAAGCTGCGCGACAGACGACGCTGTTGTTGCCTTGACGGAAGACACCAGGTTCACCATGACCTCTTGTTTGTTATGCAATTGACGTCTTGCTTCTTGTCGAGAGGGCCGACGCTATTGTGCCGCACATGCGGTGGGAGCCCGCCGTTCAGAGATTTCGTCGAACTAGGGTCTAGTCGGAACAACGCTTGTGTAACCAAGCCGGTGCAACCTGTTACTACTGTACTTGTACGATTGCACAGGGCCTAAACCTGCTGAACATTGTTAACATTCTTGTTCAGCCCCTCCCCTTGTTTCCTGGAGGCCAATGCATTGTTGTTGTTGTTGTCTTCACATTATACTCGTGCCAGTTGCGAATCCCAAAATCTAGCAAAGACTCGGTCCGTGGTCACAAAAATACTATAGCCATTGAAAGATCTTTTCTCTCCGTTGGGCTACCACAAAATTTGCTTCTCGCCGCCATCGGAGAACGAAATCTGCCCTTGCATAGAGATAAATTTGAACAACCGGGACGATCCCCGTTACTTTGAGTTTTGACAAGGTGATTTTCCCTCAATAAAGGTCACGGACGAGATGCACCCGCCACCAAGCAAGGTTGCGAGTGACAGGGGGTGGTGCCCTTCTGAATACAAACTCATCGCCCAGTCTCGTCTTGTGGCACCCATCATTCCAACAGCACACTATTATTCAGACCCTGGAGACACACTGGGCGGGGAACGAGGGGTGATGGGAGCAGTTTCTTGTCCGAAACCCTTGGCCAGATTTTTCACAACGTTGGGTCCTTGTTGTGGGGTACAGGACGAGCTTACAGGTTCCAAGTACATCAAAGAATGGTCGACATGCTCGACATCACCCGCAGAGTGAAGTGTACCGCTATCTGATGCCAATCCCACAATGGTGCTACGAAATGACTGCTGCGCAGGACGCAGGCAATCTTTAGTATTGGCACCGTCATCCTTTACGTGACGGACAGCTACTACTGGGAGGCGCCGTACAAGGCAATATCGACGAAGCTTGAGGTACGCAGCGTATGCCACACTTGTCTGGTGTCCCCTTGAGTGGAACGAAAGGTACGGTCGTGGCGGCACATGCTCGCAAGAGCACGGGGTACCCGCCGGATGTACTCCTGACAAACGATCCCCGCCAAAATCAATTCATTACTAGCCGCACATAATGTCGGCGAGGCCGTCATCATTGCCGTCACCCAAGCCGCCAGAAGATTTGCACCCCCGCCGCCGCCGAAGACAACAACGAGCATCCGCGTTGTCTCGTGCAACGCACTGGCAACACTGCCCGCTAAATCCTGTCGCCGTTGGCAGCCGATGCCTCGTTCTCCCCAAATTTCCAGCAGCAAACCGTCGTCATTCTCTGTGTTCGTGCATTCATCCTCTGTTCCGCAGTTTAGGCACCACCTCTGCCGTCAGTAATTCGCCCGTCCTCCCGCCCCACCCCCGCTGCCGTGTGTCCGTCCTTCCTTCTTCTTCTCCGGCCCTCCTCTCCCTTTTTAGGTCTTTTTCGCCGTGTTCTTCAGTTTCAACTTTTTGTTCGAGCTCCTGCTGTCGAAGAACCGGCTGGCCTTCGTCATGAGCATCCCTGGCATCGTGGACCTGGTCACCATTGTGCCCGTCTTCTTGGCCCTGCAAGCCGACCCCGTCTCCAAGTCACCCACGGGCTTCGTGCGCCTCTACCGTGTGCTCATGTTGGCAAGGGTAAGAAACAGGGACATTTTGCAATGCTTGCTTACCACCGCATCATGAACTGCTTTGTCCGTTTCTAGGATCAAGATTCGCCTTGCCAGAGGGCAAGCGCGTCTTTCGCCAGCAGAGACAACCTCGTTACGCGTAAACCACAGCTTGCCTCGGTAGTACAGACTTGAGAGCTCGATAGCCGAATGAACAGCGGACACACATCGCGTTGTGATCTACTTGCTGGATATGTGGTGCTTTGTTGCAGGGGCACCACCCCTCCTGTTTATCGAATACCTTTGGTGTCTTGCGCAATTTGTCTTCTTCGTCCTGCATCAAAGAGTCGAAGTTTTCTGCTTTTCCGCCCACATTTCGCCTTTTTGCCAGCCGCATCGTCATTCCCCATTGCATGGATCAATGGTCGAGGCTGTCAATATGTTCTTCCTCTCTCTCATTGTCTCTCGCTCGTTATCTCTCATTCTCTCATTCTCTCATTCTCTCATTCTCTCATTCTCTCGTTCTCATTCTCCCTTGTGGTCTCTCTGTTCCTCCCTCGACTCACTCGGCCATCCTCTATCCATCTTTCCACTCACCGTTCGCCCGGTCAAACGAAGGTGTTTAAGCCGCTCCGCCTTCTTAAGGCAGTGGAGAGCATTAGCCCTGGCAAGGATGCGGTGCTAGAACAGACGGCGAGAACAATGGCATACGTCGTTTCCACGCTATTCCTTGCCTCCGGATTGGTGCAGGTTCGTGTGTGCGTCACGGATTGCAGATGATCCGGTGGCCGACGCAGGCGTAAAGATGATATCACGATTGAAATTGCCTCAAACTTCCGTGTCATCCTTTCAAGGTCGCGATGTTGAATGTCGTCACTGAGGCTATCGTCTTGCGCTGAATCGTGACCTGGCGTTCACAGCAGACGGTTGAGTTTATGCCGACGACGTACAATCCACAACAGACAATGTTTGCGTTTCCCTCATCTATCAGGTTCTGTCGGACGGAAGGACGGACGAATGGGGGGAAACAACGGATGCGACCAAGATGATGTTTCACGACGCCCTTTACTTCATAATCGTGACGTTCAGGTATTGCTATCGTTCTGACGGTGGTGATGGTGGGTATTAGCCTACGTGGTTTTTCATTGCAGCCATCCGTGCAACAGCGCAGGTCTTCGTAGGTGATCTCTTAGTGGTCGTCGAAGGTCGTGGCACAACACACCGACGAAGCAAAAATCAACCGGTCGACACAGAAGACGTCATTACTCGTATCGTTTGCTGGGGGCCCCGTGCGTTGTCTTGCTTTGGTTGTCCTTAAAGCACCGTCGGCTACGGCGACATGAGCCCTCCGGACACGCAATCAAGGATGGCGATCGTCCTGCTGGTCGGTTTTTTCTTCTTCATGATACCAAGAGAGCTAAACAAGCTCAACCACTTGCTCGACCTCAGCAGTAAATATACGGTAAGTACCTTTCCTCGGCCTTCCCCCTACACCCGCCCACATCATACCGCGCTCATCTGGCACGCTTTCGGTCGTAGACCGATGCTTGCCTTTCGTATGCCAACTTCTTCACTACCTCTCAGGGCAGAGTCTCCGCACGATCAATTATGCTGCCGTCGAGGCGAGCATCTCTATGGATAGCCTTGGTCTGGCTTTTGGCAGTGGCAGCGCAGGAGCTTCTATGCATTCAAAGCTGTGTCCATGCTCGAATCCATCATGGAGGACTAACAAAACTCGTTTGTCACGGGATTGTCGCTGCGGTTGCTTGCCTGCTGTGTCGGAATGAGGAAGGGTTGTTTCAGACAAAATCTAAATCTTTGAAACTTCGAACTTCGAATAGGAGGGGGTTGGAGTGCCTGGGAATGGGCATGGCTTGACGCAAATGTTGGAACCATTTCAAGAAGTATCCGAGCAACCTCGAACAAAGGCCAGATAATTAATTTTCGTTTCTTGCGAAATGTTATTCAAAGATTTCGAACAGGTTTCTGTGTTTGAAACGACCCGAAGAAAGGCGACATATTTTGTGTCCAGCCCGACCATGTTTCTGTATATCCTACTCAGGGCTCGTACCCGAAGAAACTAGCGGGAGGGCATACCATCGTCGGCTGCGACATTGCCTCTTGCGGGCTGGCGGGCGGCTTTCTGGAGGAGTTTTTCCACGAGGACCACGGGTATAACATCATGCACTTGGTAAGGATAAAAACAACGTTACCAACGACCTTCGTTCACGTGATGGTTTGAAGAGAGTTCGCACGATATGCTCAGGCGAGGTGGGCGGACAGACAAACAGATGGGGGTCATAGGTTTAATTTGGATAGGAGGGACACACACCGCGCCGCATGACACAGGATATTGCGTTGGGCGATGCGTAGCACGCGTACTGACGAGTCGCGGCAAAGGCGTTTCCAAGCAGCGCATGAGCCGAAATTTATTCTTTTACCAGGAGGTGAAACCTACCTTGAAAGGTTGAAATTCAAACCCGTCTACCCGGAACGTCTTTGGAGGTGCGTCGGAAAAGTGACTGGGTGTGTGATTGCTTTCATCCGCGTCGAGACGGTTTCACACCCAGTGCATTCATGCCAAATCCTTTCCGACAAAGTCAACGACCTCGAGAATATTTCAATCGATCTCAGGTGCTCCTGGTGCCGCACGAGCCTACAATGGAGTGGAAGCGACTCGTGCTTAAGTTCGCCGCCAACGACCGAGTGACTTACCTCAAGGGAGATCTTCGCAGCACGGACGACCTCGCCAGGGTCAGCGCGGACACGGCTTCGTCCTGCTTCATTCTGACAAATAGGTATCGGTACCCTCGACAAACGAGGTGTTTCTTAACTTCATATTGCTAGTACAATGGTTCACAATGTCAACGCTCTAGGCTGTGACGACTACAGCCATCCTTGGCCCCTTTGTGGCCATTCTGTGGGCACTCATAGCTGGCTGCTTTTCAATATCCCTTCTGCCAGCACCGGATACCATGCACCTGTGGAAGATTCTACCCCCGTTATTCCTGCGTCACTTCGATAATTTTCCAATTTTCAAGGCACGGGAATCTCCGGGAAGAAGAGAAGCGAGGGTTCATGCGAGCAATCACCGTTCAAGATTTCAACCCGTCGCTGCGTATCTTTGTCGAGGCGCCTACGCACGGGATGAAGCAGCGCCTGGTCAAGGTATGACGGTTCGTGCTGAAACATATTTCGTAATGCCTCGTCCTACAACGGCCCAAATGTAATACTTTTCAGTCAACCAAGGCATCCCCAAACAATTTCCAATTCGCGTGTGCCATTGCTGTAGGTGGGCATAAATCCCTCTCGAATTGTTTGCGCGAGCACGGTCAACACTCGGATGCTAGCGAACGCGTGTGCGTGGGAGGGGGCATCGACGCTCATCAACAACTTACTGGTGAGCAGGCCACTCTGTGCTCATTGATGGAAGCAGTGATATTACCTGCATTGGGTCGAGCCACTCGTGACCGATAGATTGCTGCAATCTTATTGGCGCTAGGTCTTCCGAAAGGAAGAGGTCCTACACTGATGTATTCCAAAATCAAAACCTGCTCAGTTCCCTGCTGTGGTTCTACCAGCAGAAAATGGATGTCTCGAGACTACGCGATATTCAGCGGTTGGGGCCGCTCTTGAAGGGCCCGTCGCTATCGTGTGTATTGAGCGCCCTTCTGCAGGATCAGCCAGTCAGAACACCAGCCAAACAAAACGTTGCTCCGTTCCCATCTAGGCGCCTCCCGCTGTGGGGCCGTTTCCCCTTCTGCCTTGCTCTACCCCACCCGATTCGAATGCGACGGGCGGATAGGTATCCGCGTCGATCGATGAGCAGCAGGACATGCCGGCTTGGGTAAAAGAGTACGCGTCTGGGCTCGGGAAAGGTACATCTCCATTGCGAGTTGAAATGCATTATCTCCGGGCTTCAACACTATGGTAGCCCGCTGGCCAACCGCGTTCCCCTTTCGGCGAGGACTGCAACTGCGTCCAACCTGAGGGTATGGTAATGAATTTTGGGTGAAAGGTCCGTGCTCTCGATTTCGATCCATGACATCAATATCTCGTTTATCTTGCTGCACAACTGGGGGTTGACGGTGAGTGCTGACGGCTTGCCGTAGTCTACCATTCATCGACTGCCTGCCTCTCTCCACGGAATACGTTCACGAGAATTCGTTGTCGGCAGGATGGCATCAAGTCGCAGACAGGCACATGATGTTCCGATAGCATGCTTGCTACCTCCAACTTGCTCAAGACTTTGTGTATGCCTTGGTCGGCATGCCCTGCTCTATGCCCTTGTTGTCCCGAAGAAATTTATGTCGTTTCCATCGGAGCCTTCGCCGGGCGAGGCTTCAGCGAGCTAGTCCGAGAGCTGTTCGAGCAGCACGGAGTTATCCTCTTGGGGATCAGCGAGGATCGGCGGGTGGTGCTTCATCCCGGCGCTTGCTACGTCATCACGCCGGTAAGCCCTCCCCGGAAGAACGTGCCAATGCACGCCCTCTATCGCTTGCGGGCACGGCGTGCAGACCAACTCCAATCGACTAACCTATCCATTAGTATCTGAAGTACCGAGCGTGTCGGTCATGCTGGCGGATAGTCGGGACTCCTTCAAGTATTGCGCCATTTTGTGATGCGGCGGACCTGCTCTCCGCCCCCCAAAACTTGCCTATTTCGCTGCTGGAAATAGTATATGTAGAGGTGAGCGACGCTATGTCGGTGCTATTTCATTGGCGCAGAGTGTTCTTTTCTTGAAATGACTCAAAGTCCTCACGTGTCGTCCACTTCCAGCTCACATTCACACCGGCCGAGAATCTCCCTGCGGAGGACGTTTCCCGAAATAGCGGTCTTGATTTCGACTTCGTCCACAACCGCACGTTTCAACGGCAGGCCGACCTAGGTTTTCTCGTCGCGGACGACGCCGACGTAGCGGAGTCCATCGTCGAGCAGGCCGTCGGGGCGCTCCTGCCATTCCCCGAAAAGTCTGAACCGCAAGCACCCCTATCGTCGGCACAAAAGGGATCGGTGGGAGGGCGAGAAGGGGCAGGGGTGAAAGGCCGTGGTTCCACCACGGCCACCGCGATGGCCTTAACCGCGGACGCACGGACGGCGGGGGTCCTTCCCCGGCTGGGACGAACGACCAAGGGCGTCGGTGGACACAGCGGTAGCGTCGGCGGCGGGAGTCGAAGCGGCGGTAAGTGCCGCAGCTTCCCGTTAGATCCGCCCGATTATGGGGTGGGAGCAACGGCGGAGATGGTCGCTGCCGCCAGAAACACCGGCGAGTCTAGCGCCCATCAAACCGGAGTACTTCATCTTTCTCCGTCTCCGTCATCGCCTTGGACAGTAATCAATAGTCGCGGCGCAGAAACGGCCCGCGAGGATCCGCAGATCTCTACGGTTGGAGGAAGAGGGGAGGGGGGGGGAAGAAGTTCGAAAGGTGGCGGTAGTCGCAACGGCGACGGCGCATCCAGCCCGTCCAAGATGGCGATCGGGAACAAGAGAAGCCCAAACAACGGCGACGGCGGGGGTTATATGGTCCTTGTGACCCCCACGCTTGCTCAAGTTTCAATGCTGGTTGAGGCGTTCGAGGCCCCGCAGGTGCCGAAGATGGGCTTCGTGGTCGTGTGTCCGCTGTACGACTGGAACCAGGAGCGGGACCAGGAGGAAATTCGCCGGCTACGTGCGTTCCCGCAGGTGCGTTTCGGCGGGGTTGGGGGAGGTTGGGGCAGAATTATCGGAGGACATGTTTTGTAGCGCCTTGTGTTTTTGGCGATTGGTTTCCAGTACTAGATTTGTCCCGACGGATTTATGCTCGTCGCCGGCGGCCTCTTGTGGAGATTGGGTGCCCCTCTCGCGATGGATGTGTTCCATAGGTTGTTTTCTACTCTCACTGCTGTAAGCCCGCGACGGCTGTACTGCCTTCGGGTCATTTCGAACCTATCCCAACCCTAGATCCTCAACGCATGGTGACGATTAACACCACATGTGCTTGTGTCTGGTCCAGGTCCGCCTCGTGATCGGTGGGGCTAGCAGGGCGTCGTTGAAGGAGGCAGGGGCGAGCAGCGCGAGGATGGTCGTCGTGAGGGCAGGGAAGAGCTTCCCCGAGCAGGGCGCGTCTGATGCCGATGCCGAAAGCATAGGACAGCTGGTCGAGGTTCGAACGCAAATTAGGGACATAAACGTACTGTAGAAACATGTTCGAGGCTCGTTTTTTCCCGTCAGTACTCCCAAAACTTCTGAACTCAACCAACTCCGTGCAGGACTCACACCCCTGGTCAAGGAAGATGAACCCTTCCATGCCTTGAAGAGGTTAGGTTCAATGAGACGTTTTTGTTTTCCGCCGTCGTTCCTGAACGACGTCGGCGGACGACAAAGATCCCTCAAGCTATATCCTACAACGAAACCTGGTAGAAAACATGAAGCTGGCGCCATGGCCGTTGATATCCTATCTCTTGCACACAACAATAACAGGTGACAGCAGTCGCGGGGCTTAAAGTCCGTGCGATCGTCGAGCTCAACGACATGACGTACGGCAATCACTACGAGATCCTAGTGGACCTACTCCGCAGCTCTCGGTCGCTTCCGCTGTCGCCGTCACTGGCGGCGGCGCCTCTCCCCCTCGCTGCCGGGGACTGCGGCCGCCCCGACACGGTCTCGGCGACCGGCGACCGCAGTTACCAGTCTCACAGCAATCGCAACGTCCACTACAACGGTGGATCCCCTTCCTCGACCACGGGGGCCCTCGACAACGTTTTGTCGGCCACCGCAGTCGCGTCCATGCACAAGAACGCCGATGCCCGAGGAGGAGAAGGAGCAGGTCAGAGGTTGAGGGGCTGGTGGCGGAGATGGCGGCATCGCCACTTGGGCTGTGACGACGATGGATCGTCGCGCTACTCCGAGGGTCGAGGCGCTTCTCGATGCAGTGAAGGTGATCGTAGCTCAGCAATACCGTCAGTGAGTGGCGGGGGAGGGGGTGGCGTATCGGCGGCGGCGTCAGCGGCCAGGGCCAGAGTGGGGCGGCGCGGTAGAGCACACTGGACCTTGACCAAGGGAGTGGCGTCCGGTGCGATTGTGCCAAGCAGCTTGCCTGAGACGCTGCTGTGCCAGGCGTTCTACAACCCGGCCATCATCATGATCGTCGAGGCCCTCCTAGATCCCAAGGCCCAAGTTTATAGCAAGGCAAGGCGTCGTCCAGGCCGCCACCCCTGGAATGAACGAGAGGGTGCGGCTGCACCGTCTCAGGTTAGCGATGAAGACGGCGGCGACAACGATGGCTGTCGCGACGGGGGGGAGTGCGAGGGCGAAAGCGGAGTTGGAGCAAGAGAGGAAGGGAGAGACGGCGCGGATGGAGGGGGAAGACGACCCACGAGCGGGGGTGTCGGGGTATCTTTTCTGGCACAAATCTTGCCTCCCAGAAGGTTCTTCACGGAGGCCATGCTCCGTGGTCACCGGCCAAACTTCCAGGCGAGTATTTGCCACTGATCAACGCGCATCTGCGGGAAGAGTATGATGGGCTTGCTTCTCATGAGGCCGGCCTGCCACATGTACAAGAATAATTCAGTTCCTTGTCATCCCGCTCCTTGACAAGCCTGGGTCTACTGATAGATGTGTGAGTGACATTGGAAGGAGTGCCTTGGTTTGAATGACAAACTATCGGGGGTGGTAACTTCGCACCGTAGATGGCCAACATTCGATCTTCGCTGTTGTTGCAGGCGTTGATGAACTTCATGCTGGGCGAGTACGACGCCCTTCCGTTTGGCCTACTGCGGCACGGCAAAGCTGGCTCACCGTGCGGATCTGTAGGCGAAGTGCCGAAATTTGTCCACTGCTGTCCGGACCCGGGGCAAAAGGTTATGCCGCTCGACAAGGTTGGTGAAAACAATATTATTGTTGTTGTTGTTGTTGTTGTTGTTGTTGTTGTTGTCTCCCAATCCAAAACCGTTCCGATATCGGCACAGTACCCCCACATAGAAATCCGGGCGGTCAAACAGAAGTGTTAGAACATCAGATACGGGTGGGTGTTTGATCAACTCAATTCCATCCCTACGCCACGAGAAAACGCATCCTGGCTTTCGAGGGTGCGATACAAGGACAAGCGGTGGCGTCTGCCATTCATAATATCCTTTTAGAAAGTGAACGCCTCGTTCCCACATGCGAACACAACAAACGGGAACACGCTTCGCAGGTGTTTCTGCTTGCGCCAAATCTGGATTCGTGGGAGCGGATGCAGCTGGACAGCCCACCACCGGCTTTGCTTCCTGCCGCAGGCAATAACTCCCGATTCTCGCCGGGCGACAGGCTAAGCTCAACAACGCCAGACTTGACGCCGCCTCCCATCGGAGCCAACACAACGGACAGCCCAAACAAGCGAGGGTTCCCACCAGAAACACCAAGTGCCGTCACAGGCGACAGGAGGTTTCCAGTTCTAGAAGGCGATATTTTTGGCCTTCAACAAGGAGACCCTTGTTCGATGGCACGTTCACCAAGTCACCGGCAGAGGAGGCGAGGAGGAGGAGGAGGAGGAGGAGTAGGCCCGGCAGCAGACTGGCGGGGTTCGCCTGACAACGGCCATCACGGCAGCAACGAGATCGACATGTCCGCGTCGTCACCGTCGCGCAATCTGTTCCTTTCGCCATTCAGCTCCACGCTTCCGCCCGAAACGGCGACGCTCCCGGCGACGAGCAGGTTCGACGCAGATCGCACGTCTTGGGTGGGCCGAGCGGCGTCCATCAGAACCGGTGGTGCGAGAGGTGGTGCAGGCGGTGGCCGAGGAGGGTCGCAGCAGCAACGACATCCCAAGGGGTCGCACGCGAAGCTGGACTTGCTGCTGCAAGAGATGCAGCGCCTGAACGGTCGGTTGGATACAATCGTGGGCCGGCTGGGCGTTTTGGAGGGAGAAAACCGAACAAATCGGGTGGACGGCGAGAGCGCGAAACAGGTTCCGGATATATGACATTTCTTTTCAGAAGGATCAACGATGCGTGGAGAGCCGGGAAGGGCCAGTCATACCGCGGTAGACAATGAGCGTTTCTGAGAACTATCTAATGCTCCAGAGCGTAACGCTTTGGAGCCTGCCCGCAGGGGCCAAAATAGAAACCAGATGGGCGACGTCCCACGAATCAATCTTGAATGGCAGCGGGAGTCAGCATTGACATACAATCCTCAGCGGACATCCCTAAACAATGCGTGAGGGGACTTGTCTGGAGGGACCGAATGTTTTGACAGCGACAACACTCGAACAAGTGTGACGGCCGTGGATCGCCTGCTTGGGCACGACAACACACACCTTTTTTCAGTCAAGCTGTTTGTGGGTTGAAGATAATATTCTCAACAGAAGGCACAACGCAAAGCAGTCGGGTGCTCTAAGGTGACCGGCATTGAAGCGAAAAAAAAACACAGCACGGCGGCTTAGCTGCGTGCGTTCCGCGGAAAAAGTGGGTTTGGGTGACTCTTGTGCTTGGCCTATTTAACTCGCACAAACCAGCAGCGACGAAAAGAGATGGCCACATGCAGCAAGAACGGAGAGGGACAATCCAAACATGATGGTAGGATACCGAGTCAAAGGACAAACCAAAATATTTACAGGGGGTTCAAGCGGCGCAAATCGCCTCCTTCTTGATCACCATCCGCAGCAGCAGTAGGCTGCACATCCGAAAGCGGGCCAGAGTCATTCCATGCCACGCCGCAGTCATCGCCGCCGGAGTTGCCGCTTCGGCAACCACGGCCCGGAACGAGTCAGTCAGCCACCCGGAGGCGCCTGAGTTTAGTCTGCCGTGGGAGGCTCGGTTTTGCTGAGCCGGCGAACGTGGTCTCCGAACCTGGCCATCTCGGTGGCCAGCCAGCCCTTGTCATTCTCCTCCTGGCTGTTCGTAAGGAAGGCACAGTGGCCTCCGTGCTGAGAAAAGGTAGAGGAAGAGAGTCGGACGGCGCAGGCTTACGATGAGAAGGGAATTCACTCCCGCGCGTAGGAGATAAGCTGTGCGAGAGGCCAACAAGTCGTGTAAACTACCAGATCGAGGAACCGAAAACTCATTCATTGCACGGGCCGTTGTGCAGCCGCTCGTGCCGACCGACACAAGATTCCACGGAACAGCTAAATTCATTCCCCGAGCAAAACATTAACGGCGCCGCTATATAGCCTACACTTGTCGGTATGTGTAGGACGGACCGACCGGCGTCACAAAGGAGGGATCTTTTACCTCCTGCGGTGCTTGCGATCAATTGTACACTCGATAAGGGGTCGTCAGCATCCCTCCCCCTCTTCGTCGTGTAAACATAAATTCACGTTCAAGGTGGAAGGCACTTCACGCGGGAGAGATTCGAACCAGCCAGAAGGCACCAACCGAACCATCGAGTGGTTTGCATAGCAAGATATGATGAGCTCGTGCGAGAGGAATGATACTTCACAAACAAGCATCATGACACCCATATAGGTCAAAAGGCTTGGTCTGCGTTCACTGCCAAGAAAATAAATTGTTTTAGCCCTTCGCTTCTTGCCTGTCCCTACCAGTACAAGGGTCGCCATTGTGCACAGTTCGAACCCGAATGCAGGTTTCGCATGGAGTCGTACTTCTATCTAGAACGAACATCGAGTGAACTTTCAGAGAAGCGCCAAATACACGTTAGAACCCGTCTCGATACTAAAGGTACAACCGCTCTCAAACCTTTCACTCTTCACGAGGCTCAAAACAAATCCCCTCTCGAAAATTTCACTCTTCCAGCAAAAATTATCTCGTGTTCTCACCTCGTGGTACGATAGCCGAACCGGGGCTCCCTGCAAGTCATCCACTGTTGGCAGCTTTGCAGGGTCCATGAAAGGGTCATTGATCGCCTGCATCAGAGGTCGTTCGGGACGCTATTAAGACAAGGACGAACATAGAAAAACATCGGTACAACTAGGCGAGGTTCGGTGGGTTTGGGTTGGATGGGGCTCCCTACCGCTACTGTGATTTTTTTCTTTTTGGCCTTCCGACAATTGCAGATGTACCTCAGAACACTTTCACTTAATGTCTCATACTCTAGATGAATATTAAACCAATACGAAGTACAACAACATATGTATGACTTATTTCTACTGTCACTTACATGGTAAAAAAATGTCCTCTTCAACTTGAAACAAAACCAATGACAATCCTATTGGTATCCTACATGCGTTCGTAAGCTTGCTAAAATACTACTGCGTTGATGTCCTCTTGTAAAAGTTGATATCCAACAAATGCTCTTTCTTAAACAGGAATGAATCAGCCGACCACCTGCACGACCAAGAAGGGCACTCGAACGCCCTTAAGAAATTGCCCGGACTGCGTCTTGCGGTAGTAGTCCTGGTAGTCGTCGAAGCCGAACACCGGCGCGATCACGATGTCGTCAAACTCGCCTCATTTCGCGTTTCATGTGTCGAAATCGAAGGAAATTGAGAGACAAAAACACGAAAAGTGCAACGAGAGGGTGGAGTGAAATCGCAACGTTCACAAAGATGACAGCAGGAAAGAAACATGTTATGTTTGGTCGTATCGCATCTATCGTGGTGCTATATCTGTAACCTTTTTAAGGTCGATCGTTTCCGCTGTTCAGCTTAGTTTGTGGTGTCGCACCTACAAGTATTGTATTCGTCCTACCAATGAAGGTCGATCACTTCCGCTACCAAGTTTGGTTTGTTGTATCGCACCGTAGTGGTGATCCTCTGCAATCAAACTGAGGCGAACCACTCCTACCTAAGTAAGAAACTAACATACCTATTGTTGTGATCCTCTGCAACCTCTTGAGGTCGATGACTTCCGCTACCCTTGGGTCCGTAAGGGACTTCCTCATCATCTTGGGGATGAGGCTGTTGAGGAAGTTCTTCGCGTACACGATCTTGCCGAAGCCCGTGTCGACTCTCTAAGAAGGGGCAAGAGAAACACGATGAATTCACAGTCTGAAGCAGGGCACGAATAGGTACGTCACGGAGAGCTTAAAGTAGCTCGCAACAAGCACAGGGCAAGCTAACCAGTCCACAATTACAACAGCAACAATGCTTACGCTTTACAGATTCGGCGTCACCTGCTGGCAGGAAATGGCGTCAAAGGGCACGCACGTCACGGCGCCGCCCATGATCCCCATGTCCCTCGCGCGATCGCCCAGTTCCCCCAAAAACTGTACGGAGGCGTCAATAAAAAAGTGACAATACAGTGGGACACGGAGAAACGAAGGAAGGGGCCTGAAAATCGAAGAACACGGTCGGCGCAACGCGCCCAAAAACAACACTACACCGTATTTTCGACTCGCCCTTCGCTCTTGACCTTGGGGAGGCGTTTCTCCTGCACAACACCCAGCGTTCATAACGAAACCAGCGGTGTTCTGGAGAACAGGCCTGCCTGAGTTTCGTTGGCAGGTCTAAGGGGTTGAAAAAAATGGTCCTTGCGAGGCGCCTTGAAGCGGGTTTCACGAGAAGCTGCTTGGCCCGTTGTGGTTGGGTCCACATCGACTTCGCCAACGACGTTGGCGTCATTGCTCTCCGGGATTGTCGGTAATTCGCCGCTCGAAGGCATATGCTACAGGAAACCAGCAAATGGAAACCCCTTCAATGAATCGGCCGACACAAGTTCTTCGAAGCAGCTTCCTGTTCGATCGAATCCGCCCAGAGCCAAAGAATGCAAACAAAAGAAATATTCTCAAACACGCCTCGATCGCCCGTTCCACAAATATTGCGGCGCTTGAAGGGGAAGAGGGCGCCCGTGAATTCGTATTGAGAGGGGAAACGAACAAAAAGTTTGCTCTGCCCGCTCGCATATCTTCATTCACTTCTGCTTTCCTCACCTTTGTGATCACATTCCCTCCCAAGCTGAAACCCGACAGGAAAAGCGGGCTGTTGGGATGTCTGATCAGACAACGAGGACGAGGGGCGGGTTTCAGAGAAACTGGACAGGATCATGAGATGAGGTTCATGTGCGAATGAATACAACTAAGGGCTATGCTCCTTCGTGGACAGTTGCGATAATTTCTCGCTTTATCCGTGCGGGAAAAAGTGCCTTGCTTTAACCTCACAAGTCTGAGGTATGACATCTTGCAATCACGATGCTCTTTCGGTTTTCGCCACAAGCACCAACGTGGTGACGCAGAGAAACATAGTAGGCCAGGCGCACAGCCTTACGGTGCCAATCAAGACCATTCTGGGTTGAAGGTTGGCGGTTGACTACATAAGAAACGCGTACTCCAAAAAGCTTTCCGACGACAATAGGTCGGAACATAGCAAAAAATGTCGCGTATACGAAAAACGCCCCCATCATTGGCAAAAGACCCGGGCAAAAAAAAACATACCGCTTGAACGTCCAACGTATAATGGGGGCATACTTCAGAGGATCACGAAACAATCCCCCCGGTGTGCCTCCAAACGCTGTGATTATTGCGGCGCCAGGGCAGTCGCTCTCAGTACCATCCGAATGCCCAGTATAGCTCGCGCTCTCCTCATCCCAACCGTTCTGTCAGCAGTGTGCAGCCCGGTCTCACCTCGCTCTGAGGGTCTTGCAGACAAGCTCGAGGTCCTCCGTGAAGCCGAGGTGGTAGGCGCGGAGGGTGAGGTTGTCCTCCCCTGAGCAGCTCCGGAAGCACATGACTGCAACCCGAAACCCCTTCCGCTGGTACCTGGTTTTTTTTTCGCATGTTACAAGCACATCCCACGAAGACGTGAGATCCCTGCTGCTGCTGCTGCTGCTGCTGCTGCTGCTGTGCCGGTTGCCGTTGCTTCTGTTGTTGCAGCAACTTATGCACACTACTGCTGCCACTGCAACGGCTGCTGCTGCTGCTGCTGCTGCAGAAAAACCTTACTATTGCTGCTCATGCCGGCGCTGATGCTGGCGCTGTTGCTGTTACCGCTGATGGCGATGGTATCATCATGGTCGCTCGTCGGCAGTCTTGTGCTTCAAAATATTCGTCTACGACACTTTCCCGATGGAAAATTAGCACCTTTTTTTCACCAGAAGCCTTGAGGTAGTAAAAATATTCTCGTTGATATAATACCTGGTCGAACCTCATTGATTGGTAGCATGCTCATTCTTCCGCACAAAACCACACAAGAAAGCGCGATGAACATCACGGGTAAACATACATGAACTAGCAACGTGACCGAAATTGAATCCGGCACGCGAAAGCCCACAAAAAAAGCGGGGCAATAGTTCACCACGCGTCATAAATTCTCTCCCTCCGCTCTCCGCGCTCATTCCACCCCCCCGCCCTCCCCCTGGTAAGGCACTCACGCTAGCGCCATCTTCGCCGTGAGGGGTGCCGTGCTCGTCGACTCCAGCCCGTGAGTAAGCACCGCAAACGGCGCGGTAGAAGCATCCACCCCTCTCGTGCCGACGGCGCTTTCGAATCCAAGAGCGGGGTCACCGGCCGGGACAGCAGCCGCCGTTCCTCCCTCACCGCCGCCTCTCCCTCCATTCACAACACCGCCCGGCGCCGCTCCTGTTGCCACCGCCGCTAACCGTCGCCCACCCCCCGGTGGCGGTGGCCCCTGTCGTCGCACCCCTTGTCCCCCCCCGCCTCCTAGCCCTCCCCCCGCCGGCCCCCCGGGGGTGTCTAAGAAGTCAACGTCGAGGAAGTCGCCGTCCGGGGTGTTCCACCTCTCCCTTCGGTAAACGACCTTCCGCGCGCCGGGGGAAACATTTTCGAGAGGGGAGGTCGGTGCGTTTAAGTAGCTGTTCCGTGTGCCTGTCTTGGGTGGACTAGTCTTGTCAGCCGGGTGGGAAGACGTGCTTCCGAGACAGGCGGATTGCGCTCGACGGCGTTGCCGTGCCTTGTCTATATCGTGATACATTTTTTTTAAAAAGTGGATGGCCTGTTTTCACGAGACAGACCATCGACCTGTTCGTCTGCTGCTCATGGCAGTTGTTGGTTGGTCCTGCCGTCCTGTGTGCTTCATGGTGTTTCCTACTGGCATCGTGATCTCGCATACGTCATCACTTCATTTCGAACTTTTGCTTTCGTCTCATCAGCGGTCGGCTGAGAGAAAGGGGTAGCAGGTTGAATCGGTGGGACACGAGTGCTTCAAGGGCAAATACGAACACCGCTGTTTCTTACGTTCGCTACAACACTTCGCCAGGGTATCGATTGCATGGTGTCCGCGTCTCCGCCTATCGCTACCACACGTCCTTTCGACATTGTCGGCATTCAAAGCACCTCAACAGGCACACCAGTACATAACATCAGACCACCACTGCTACGCATTAGCTCTGGTCATCGGAGCAGACGTAACCCCGTTGCTTGCACGCGTACCGGACATGTGTGGCTGCCTTGCTTGTTGCGCCGTCTCCTACGTCTGGTTGCAATACGACGCGTGTCGGTGAAACGCTCCGAAAAAAATGCAACGATTGGTACGAAAGAGAACGCGAAAAGCCAGACGGGCACCACCAGCGAGACAGGGAGAGATAGAATCTGCCTCGCTTCGAGGCAGCACAGGACGCCACAAGCGTCCAAACAAGAGTCCAGGCATCAAACAAGCAGGCAGCGATACGTGCGCGGGCCGGGGCCGGGGCCGCGTCCAATCGCCAACGAAGAAAGCGACATCCCTGATCCTCAACGTGCTTCTCTCGATTGTTCCCGACGTCCCTGTCCCTTCTGCTTGGGGTCAAAGTCTTTCCTGACACCAAATCAAGAGACCACAACAACCCACCATGAATCCACCCAAAACCTGCTTGCCTGCTGCCTGCCTACATGCAGCACCTACCTCGGGACCTTTGACCCCGAACCGCTTCTGTATCTCGCCTGAGCCAAAGATAGTCGAAAAGTGGTCGTTTGTGGCCCACCACGGCGCAGAATACTTCCGGGGGGCGAAGCTTTAGGTCGAGGAGGGCGGCGGGGGGTGGGAGCAGGGACAGAAGGGGGCAGACATCAGAGAGTGATTGTCATACATGCATCGACAGGCTTGCGGCTTCGGCAAAGGGGCAGCACACCCGAGGGGAGAAAACTGCTGCAAAGCATATGCACGACCGTGTTCGAAAACAGAGAGGTCCGCGCAGCGGCAGCGAGGAATACTTCGTATGCCACTGGGAATCGGTCGTGGGGAGGCAAAAGGGCAGGGCGAAGACAACGCGAACTAATACTCCTATACTATAATAGTGAAAATGGTCAATGCGATGACACGAAAGGCACCGGAAAGAGTGGCAGTGGGGGGGGTGTACTCATAGTCGTGCATGCCGTGGTCGTTAGACCATTGACCTTGCCTCCCTACAAAGCCGAGACGGAGCACGCCGGGTTCTCACCGGACCAGGCTCTCACATCACCAAGCGCGAAGCGCCGTGAGGTATTCGGCGAGTTGCATGAAGGGTGCGCTTCATCCTGCTAAGGGTGTTCGGCATCTTGTGCATACTTCCTTGCGTACGGATGACAGCTGCGTATGACTTAATTAATTTTCTGGTGCTTTCACTTCCTGAGACAGTTGTAAGCACTGTGTAACTGCCTCGAGGGTGCTTGACCGATTTTAACACAACGTGGTGTGATAATCCCCCTTGCGCGGAGTGAGGCTTCTCGACCCTGCACATGATCTACTCGACTACCATTTTGGTGACCGCAAAAAAAATAACAGTGGTAAAAAAAAACAAAACGGTAACCTGGTTGCCGAGTTCACGAAGTAAATTGGCTTGTTTTACCATGTCGCTGCCTAGCTACGAAAACCCGACCCCCGTGGCAAACACCGGGGGGGGCGTGGGAAGGGTAAATGGCTTCCCGTGGGGGCAGGGGTGGGGTCAAGGGAAAGGACACATGCCACATGACAAATGTTGACAACGCTTTTCAGTAGGCCTGCCCGGGTTGCGTACCACTGCAGGTGATGATATGTTCATCGTTGCTACATATCTCCACCGCGCTGATATCGTAGACTTTGATTTGCAAGGCTCCTCTTGGGAATTGTCCCGCGGCACTACCCCGCGTGATTTCCACGTGAACGGTAATTGGTAACGTTGCAGTGATATTTTACGGTTACCGTGCCCATCCAAATCATTACCGACCAAATGGCCTTCTCCCATTCCCATCCAAATCGTTACCAAGGACATGAAATCCCGTTGTTCCCACCCAACCAACTACCGTGCAAAATGTCGAATTCCCGTGGCTTTTGGTTACCACCGAAGCAATTACCGGCGAGATGTAGAATTCCTGGTACCGTACGGGAACATTGCTGAGGGGGCTGTCTACATAATTGCAGCACTGCACGTGGCGGGTTTGACTCCACACCATATCCTTTTTATTTTTTTTGCTCTTCAGTGCAGTTTATCTCTCTTTTCATGTATCGATCCATCAAACGAAAGGGAACCTTTTTTTCTGTGTGTCTGGGGTCTTTAAATATATATTGGTTTTGAGTAATGCCGTCTTTTTATTTTCTTTTTTCCCCTATGATTGGACTGTCGTCTGCCCCTCTGGCCCCCATCCTCCATTTCACTAGCTAGACGACCCAACCGGGGTCACATAGGAGGGGGGGGCTGGACCCTTTCTGCCTGAGATATATTTATCGCGAGAAGGGTACAGCAATCCCTTCCCTCGCGACCTATGAAGTCGATCAAGTTCACTAACAACGAGCTTTGCAGCGCGTCGCTTCCAACTTAGCCGTCTGCAGTGTGGTGTATTTTTGCGTTTGTTGTGTTTGAACTGCTTGCCTGCGGTGTGACGCAGATACAGTACACTATGCTTGTGGTTGAGCTCGCTATGCGTGTAAGTATGTGGTAGCTGGTGGTTTATGCGTCGTCTGGCAGATAAGTTTGGTGTTTTCAGTCCTCACGTAGCTGAGATAGNTTCTGCCTGAGATATATTTATCGCGAGAAGGGTACAGCAATCCCTTCCCTCGCGACCTATGAAGTCGATCAAGTTCACTAACAACGAGCTTTGCAGCGCGTCGCTTCCAACTTAGCCGTCTGCAGTGTGGTGTATTTTTGCGTTTGTTGTGTTTGAACTGCTTGCCTGCGGTGTGACGCAGATACAGTACACTATGCTTGTGGTTGAGCTCGCTATGCGTGTAAGTATGTGGTAGCTGGTGGTTTATGCGTCGTCTGGCAGATAAGTTTGGTGTTTTCAGTCCTCACGTAGCTGAGATAGATATGGTTAGTGATCAAGTGATGGATATTTTTAGGTGTCGCTCTGGACGTTAACGATGTAGTTCGTTTGTATTATCCTTTGCCTTTTGCCTCGTCTTTCGGTAACTTGAACGCGAGATTTTCGCCTATAGTCTCAAAACAATTGAAAAACGAAACCAATTGAAAAACGAAATGCGATAGGTTCCATTCGTGAGTTTCGTGTTCTTTGTGGAACGCGCTGCTTGGGTGTCAAGCGCACTGAAATAAAAACGCAACACAGTCACAGTGCATCGCTTTGTGGAGTGTTTCCATCCTGCGTTACAGTGCATCACAGGGACCGGTCGCCCCGGTGGTCTAGTGGCATCCTCGTAATCCGCTATAATAGTCGCAGAGGTCTTGAGTTCGAATCCCCATGGGGTGAAAAATTTACGAAATCTGCGGATAGCGAAATGTAGCTAGAAAAGCTCTCGTGGGTACCAAACTTCGACGATAGCAACGTTGACGAGGGAAAGGGACGGCTGGACCCTTCTCGCGATAAAAATAAAATTCAGCACGCACTGCAGGAGGAAGGCGGGGCGTGAAAAGAGAAAAAAGAAGAAAAAGAAGCCCTGGCGTTTACCCCCTCCCGTGTGACCCTGGATGGTTGTAGGTTGTACGAACAAATACACTGACAAGTGTGGTATTCTGCATACGCTGTAAAGTGTCGTAGACGTCTCACCACGAAAAATTGGGGGACTGTCGCCATGATAAATAGGACGAAAACACACACACACACACACACACACACACACAGTGGTGGAATACCGTGGTGGTCCCCTACCGCGGCATGACCGTGGTGCCGTGTGACCACCCAACCGTGCATTTCCGTGGTGGCTAGTTCCCGTACGGAAGTTCCCGTACTGGGCGATTACCACCCAATTTTTTCCGTGCATTACCGTGGTGGCTAGTTCCCGTACGGGAGTTACCGTACTGGGCGATTACCACCCAATTTTTTCCGTGCATTACCGTGGTGGCTAGTTCCCGTACGGGAGTTACCGTACTGGGCGATTACCACCCAATTTTTTCCGTGCATTACCGTGGTGGCTAGTTCCCGTACGGGAGTTACCGTACTGGGCGATTACCACCCAAATTTTTCCGTGCACTTACCGTGGTGGCCAGTTCGTTACCATGATGGCCAGTTACCACCCAAATACCGTGTACTACCGTGTTCGCTGATTCCCGTACCAATCGTTACCGAATCGAGAAATCGTTCCCGAGAGGAGCCTTGATATTTGGGTGTCAGATATCGTGTACGGTAGGGCGCCGAAACAACTTACCTTGCTTTCGGGCCCCGGGTCCGCTGATCATACACACAAAAAAATAAAATGGCATTGTGGACTATCATCGACAGCGTGTTGACACATGTCGCTCTTTGCTCTCTGCATGGTCCTGTGTTGCACCCAAATTAGGGACATGTTCCTCCGTAGGTACCAGCGCATCGACCGTTTACGACCACGTGATGGTGCGCACATCGCACAACCCATTATTTGCAAACGATGGGTTGTTCAAGAAACAACAGTGCCATGAATAAGGGACATGGAATGACCGAGCAGACCTCTTCGCAGCTCTCAGCGCTCCGCAGAATAAGTAGCGGAGAAATAAAAAAAAACGTTCGTCAGCAGCAGCAGCACACGCGGTTCAAATTCAAACTCTCATCTGACACGCCTATACCATACCTCTGTACTTCACACTCACCCATCGATGACGCCTTTCGCCGCCAATGAATCACTAGAGGACACACTCGAAACAGCACCAGCGGTGATGGAGATGGATGGTGCAGTTGTTGCTGATGCAGCGCCAGGCGAGGATCCGTCAGCGGCAGGCGGGCTCGACATGACCACCTGGAGAGCACAAGCGTGGACTACGAAGGCTGTTGCCGTCGCCAGAATCACAGCCGGAGACCTCGGTGACACCCTCCGCAACGAGAAATCTCTCCTTCGCTGCATCTTTCCCTGGTGATCGACGTGGTTGCTCTACTACAACCAAAGCTAGTGATGCTATCCACGGCAGCGGACTGAGGCGCGGCAAGGGCGCCCCGTAGATGCAAACAAGGTATGATGGTTACTATGTGTGAGACCCCCTTATCGATGCATCGCAGCTGTGAGTCATCATGTGGAAAACGACGCAGCCTTGGCCCCATCGTTCACAGCCCAATAGGAGAGTGACGCCGTAGCTTATCTGCTTTCTGTCATTTTCCGTACTCCATCCACTTGAATATTCTACCTCGCAGATGTGCGGCGTACGGTAGTATTACATGGAGATCCCGCCGCAATACTATATACCATATTTTTTTCCATTGCCGTGTATCGTAGGTCCAACCATGTTCTCTGTCTGTTCTCTAGGGTTAGACTAGCCCCCGTTGTTTGAAATTCGGTCCACAGCATCGGAAACAACCTCTGGCGATAAGGTGCTCGCGTATGCACGGAGTGTCGCGCATCACAATAAGCAGCACAGAGGGTATTTCAGCTCTGTCTCGTGGTCACCACTACAAGCAGTTCGTGTGTACCATTTAGACAACAGCACGTACCCGACACCGAGCAACACAACAATTGACTGACGTCTCCCAGCGCCAGGTGCCTGCAACTTCAAGAATACCATTGGGATTCCCGAAGACAACCTTTCTCTATTTAGAGGGTCTTGGGGTCCTTCTCGAGCTACTCCGTGTGGACATGCGTGTCCGGTCACTGCATACATGAAGAGAGAGCTAACAAGGTGCATGCAGGTGAGAAAAGCTGAATGATTTTACCCTCCAGAATATTCACGCCTGATGGCAAAAACATCACAGTCTATTTCAGGAGCGGATTTTGATACTATCCGCCTTCCTAAGCCAACGCCTTCGAACACATGTTGGATACTCTTCCTCACACATGACATCCACCCCCAAGCCTCAGCTGTCACCCCACAGCCCTTATATTCCCCCGACAAACGCAGATGGCAGCTTCATGCGGTCGTCACCTTTTGGGAGCGAACGACGGTACTTCAAGTCGGCATGACAAACCAACTCTCTGCGGCTTCGCGAAAAACCTCCTGGAAGGGGACAGCGAAGACAAAACTATAGACTATATGTAACCTGCACCACTCCATCGAATACCGCCCCCGCAAGCACGGACGAATTGAGCTCCTTCCAGCTGCAGTTGGGAGACCTCTGAATGTGTTGATGAACAGCATATCCACTCTATAGGTACAACCCAGCGAAGAAAGGAGGATACACCGCACATCCACAGTGCGACAAAAGTAGACTTTAACCGAGGTTCCGTTATTTAGATGTAGTCTACGGCATATTCACTTTGCTGCAAATCAGCGCTGGCTTCTAGCATGGTAGATATGCTGTACATCTAACACGACCGCGTCACGATCCTAAAAGCCACATGCAAAGCGCGGTTCAGTTGATGGTGCCGACGACCCTAACAATGATACAGACACCCCAACTCTTGACTCCCTCGGGTGGCTGGTGCCGAGCATAAACAGCATATTTTTGTCGTGCATGCGGCTGTGCATGTGGTACCCCCCCGCCCCCCGCGGGAACATGAACCGTGACGGGGTCGATATTCCGGCCTGAGGGCTTGTGTCTCCAAACTCGAGAGAGAAACCCCCGAAGTGGGGCAGCGGTAAGCAGACGCCAATGAACATCCTCGTCACCTCTGCGACGAAATCCAGCGCATCCTGCATGTGTCATAAAATGGGGGCGTGATGCAACAGTTCGACGGCCGATGGAGGTGAGACGGCTACCCGATGTACTGCGGGCATCGCAAGTCCCGATGCAACAGTCCTGAATTGTTGAACATGAGATACATAATGTGTCAATACGTTCCATTATCATTTACCACAGGAAACATGTGGTCGCGGGTATCTAATGGTTTTCTACCCATGGCCACCTCAAGCATTATCGTCATACAGTGGATATTTTCTCTTGCGTTGCGTTCCGACGAGGTAGTTTGGCCCCGTGGGGCGCAATAACCGTCGACAACAAACCATTGTCCCCGTAAAGTACTTGCCAGTAAAACTCCCTCGCGCTTGCTCCAGGAAACGCTGAAGCCGGCCTTGGCTTCGGGGTGCACTGAAGTGGCCACGCTAGTCTTCTTTGACGTGGCATTTCCCACATACGAGACTATCATGAACCGAGGTCACGACTGACACCGCCGCTACAAAACGACTCGTCGAGCGTGGATGGTGAATATGTGCACCGCATGTTTATCCCTTTCCCCCTCGCGCCGTCGCCCCCGTTGCCTCCACCCCCACTTCATTGCAGGGGTACGTCAAGGCCGTGTTCGACCTGATCGGGACGCTGCAGGAGCGCTGGGAGAAACACACAAGACTTGCCAAGGATGACGACCGCGACTACCACGGCGTCCAGGAAGCGGTGGGCATCATTAAGATGCTGAAGACAGTGCCCGGTTTGGCGACAACGCCAGCGGCGGGCGGAACCAACGAGGAAGCCATGGGGCTTCAGCTAAAGCGGGGGATTGCCACCGTGGCTCGCGCGTTCGACGTATGGTGGGCTAGCCGCAACGAGTTCTCAGAGATGGTGAGAGCATGTAGAGGTTCGAATAAACAGTCGACGTTGGCCTGCCTACGTTTTATTTCGCAACAATGGCGAAGCTTTCATCATCATCAACTTCTACGTCGCCCGATCTCATTTCAACCGAACTCGTCGCAGCACATCGTGGCCACCCTTCATCGGTCGATGGAGTTTGATGTTGGGCTCCAGATCGCCATGAACAACAGTGCGAGAGAAGCGGGGGGAGAACCCCACCACTCCTCCTCCGCGTCGTCTTCCATGGCCGCACCAGACATGATGCGCCCCGCGTGTAGTCTGGGCTACATTATTGGGATGGCGATGGAGAACATAGATACCGACCGCAACGCCAATAGGACGGTGAGTTGCTGTTGCTGTTGCTGACATGGTCATTCTAACGGTGGTGTAGGTTTCTCCCTCGTTGGTGTTGGTATTGCTGGTGCTGGTGTGTCGGTGGTATGGTACCACTGTTTTCACATAAAGAGGCGATGCCTTGGTACCGCCACACGCGAGCACAAGCACCGCACAAAACAGTTAGCGTTCAATCCAGGACCCCGCAGGTAGACAAAATACATAGTGCTTGATGCAGGTCATTTGCTTCTGGATAAGCGACGGAACTACAGCAAAACTTTTGCCACATGCTTCGCTTGTTGCCGCTCTCATCCGCTTGAAAGCTTGACCCTGACCCCTTGGCAGCAATCCAGATATACGGCAACAACAACAAACGGTAGTTGGATGAAGCTTGAGCGATTGGGGATGTATATGTGTTTCGTCTACATGGTTTGTTCATCCAACACCTTATTCAAGAAGAATCACCACCCTCATCCACCTGCGAACCCAACCTCCGATTCACAACTACGCCACAACAGGACCTTATGGAGATTTTCGATGGGGATGCGGAGGCGGCGAGGGTGAACCACATTCACATCCACGGGATGGATGTATGGAAAGTCTCGTGCCCGCACTACAACGTGCGGGTGAAGGCCGACCCTCTAGCAAACGCCCTCGCGGTTGAGTACGGCCTCGACCTTGGCAAAGGCGATGCCGTCGCCCTTTCCTGGCTTGAGAAGAGCCACCGGTGGCAAGAGGAGAATTATGTTGGCATCGGGGACTTCGTCAGTTCCGAGGAGCTCAAGGAGCTCGAGAAGCTCGAGCGGGAGGTGAGAAAATAAGCTACAGATACGCTAGTCGCCAGGTCGCTTTGTGTCTTCAATGTCCTGTTGAAATGTCCACTTGTTCTGTGGTTCCTCTAACCCCTACACTCGAGGTTGCTGAGGGCGTCCCGCAATATCTTGGAACTCAGCACCTCTTCGACTGTCCCGGCATCTCATCTACCACACTAATCTACAGTTTGCCATGAATACTTCGCCCTCCGTCGTAACCACACTCCTCTGGCTCTCGATAGATGACATGGCACCAAGCAATGCGAAAGAGCAGAGCATCCTTCTACGCAACGCCGTGCATCTAAACTCCTCTCGAAATGCGCGTCGCTGTTGCTTGTGTTCGTTGTGCACCGTGCACGTGCATGTCTTCTACCTGTTGCCGGCCTGGATTCAACATCAACGAAACGTCGTATCAGCGGGATGCCAACAAGGCAGCGAACTAACCGACCAGCGGAGCCACCGCCGCTGGTGCACCCTCGCCAGCTTCGAACGGCAACGCCGCGCGGTGGCCGCTGTTGAACAGGCAAACGAACACCGAAATCGCCTCGGATGAGCTTGCCGCCCGTGCTCTCGCTTCTCAGATTTACCAGGAGTTTCTCCTTAAGGAAAAGAAGCAAGTGCAGGCAGACGAGGAATATGCGCGTAGCCTAGTTAGCGCTCAACCCACGGAGCAGCAGGCCTCTCAGGCTGCCCAAAAGCGAGGCAGTGCTGAAGAGGACGGCGAGGGATGGCAAACTGTGCGTAGGCCAAAGAATCGGCAGAATCAGCCCCGGTCAAAGCCACGACAGCAGCCACCAAGGAAGCCCTAGGACACTACAGTAACTCTTGAACGACACACGCCTAGTCGTCGAGATTGGTAGTTCAATGCAGTGTTTTCTTACACCCCCCAGACTGTTTCCTACACAGTCCGTAGATGTGCTTTGCACTTCGAAGCACGGCAGATGCAAGAACTAATTGTACCCTTCTCCTGTGCATTTAGGGAGGGAAATATGTTTTCTCTAGACCTGTGTTTTGTCGAGTTTGTGCCAGGCTAGGCCGCTGAGGTGTCCGTGGTGCTGTGCAATGCCACACTCTTGTCTAGGTGTAGACTATCATAACAGGGCGTGGATATATTTGTTGCCCTGGATTATGCAACCCACGGTGTAAATGCGAGCAAGGGTGTTCTCGAACATCGTGGATGCTGCTCTACGTGTCGTGACGTTTCTCTGTGTGCCCATGTCCGTGTATCTCTACTTTGACACTCGTACGACAACTTGCGTAAACTCCACTACTCTGGGGCAATGCGGATCACCCCCGTTCAACTAGGAACTGTCGCTGATCCCAACGAGATATGGCCATAGCGGCGCGCGGACAAAAATTTCGTTTTTTTTTTGGTGGGGATGCCAAGGTACAGGACTTGGGTCGGATGCACTATGTGATCTATAGTAGTAGCACGTTCGTTCATGAAGCCTATAGAGGCCAGTACTTTACTGGTTGGGCTTGGGTTTCGAATGTATTTCAATGCTACAACAAACGCCCCTTGCTCCGAGCCCCTTGTGCCAGACATGCATGCATGCACTAAGAAGATCCCTTGAGTGCAGAGCTTCGCTTGGCGGTGGAAGGCGAATAATAACAGCTTCGGGATGGGACATAGCGCGTAATATCTACGTACAAATCGCCCACCACCTGATACGTTCACCAAACGGGCACGCCTCATATGCCCGCCTGAGCAAGAACAATCTCTACACTATTTGACAAATGTAATCAGCTTCCATGGAATTCAGTATTGACGTCCGTGGAAGCTGAATCTACTTCCATGAAAGCTACCCCCTACTTCCATGAAGGTGATACGTTTTTACTTCCATGGAAGAGCTGCGCGACGCTTCCATAGAAGTCGAGTTGACTTCCATGGAGGAAGTCAGTATTGAAAAAAAAATGTGAAAGTGCCACATCCATGGAGGAAGCAGAATCTCCGTGGAAGTCCTATTGGACTCCCATGGAAGTAGAGTAGCTTCCATGAAAGTTAAACTTAGACTTCCATGGAATGTTTGTGCGTGTACTCGGCAGGATACATACGTATCTCCGAGATCTCCGGGGGTTACGCAGATAGATGTTGTACATGATGGGTGCGATGGACTTGACGCGTAGCCTCTGCTTGCCTGCCCATGTCTCTCACTCGTTAATAGTTAATCAAGGAACTTGAGTC